CTCTGTAGACCAGGCTGGCCTTGAACTCATAGAGATCCTCCTGCCTCTGCCTCCCAAGTGCTGGGGTTAAAGACGTGTGCCACCACTGCCCGGCCTGTATTTCTTTTTAAAATTCTTAGCACATTGTTCAAGGTGTATTGTTAATTCCTCTCTATTTGTCAACTTTGTAAGTTTGCTTTCACTATAGTTTTCTAGTTTGAACCAGTGTAGTGTGAAAAGATAACTTGGACAGTTTAGTCTCCTTACATTTGTTAAGACTATCTGGCTTTTATCTTAGAGAATATGCCTATCCATTTGGGAAAAATGTATTTTGCTATTGTTGGATGGCTTGTCTTGAGGTTCTTTTGGTATAACATGTCTTTCTCATCCAGTGTTTCCATGGCTTTGTGTTTTGCTTAGTCAGGATGAACTATCTGTTGTTACACATTCCCTTTTTGACATCCACTACTATATAGCAGGCAGGAAGTATGTTCAGACTTACTTGCTTCAGATACTTGACACTCAAGTTGTTGTGTCTGCACATCTATCTACCTGACGAATGGATCCCTGAATCTTTATATAATGGTGTTTTGTATGTTCCTTTTTTTCTACCTGAGCACCGGCTGGAATGAAATACGTAGTCTTCCTACTGTCAGACTTAAGTGAGGCTAAACTGTGGTTGCTACTTGCTCTAGTGTTTCTGTAAGACAAGGAGATTCTGGTCACAATGCCTTATAGTCAAGTAGAATTTAGAAAATATATTTATTTTGTGTGTATGAATGTATCCTGAGTTTTGTTGTTGTTAGCTTGATACAAGCTAGGTTCATCTGAGAAGAAGGGACCTCAGTTGAGGAACTATCTCCATAAGATTGGCCTATAGACAAACCTGTGAGGGCATTTTCTTGATTGATGATTGATGCAGAACGGTCCAGGCCACTATGGACAGCCCACAGTCTGTCTCTGGGCAGATGGTCTTGGGGTATATAAAAAAGTGGGCTGAGCAAGCAAGAAGAGGAAGCCAGGTGTTAATAATAAACAGCATTCTTCCATGGCCTCTGCTTCAGTTTCTGTTTCTAGGCCCTGCCTTGACTTTCCTCAGTCATGGGCTATTAACTGGAAGTGTAATATGAAATAAACCATTTCCTCAGCAAGTTGCTTTTGTTTTTGCAAGTTGCTTTTGATCACGATGTTTTATCACTGCAGTAGAATTGCTCGCTAAGATGGTGCTTTGTCTGCATGTATGTCTTTGTGTCACGTATTTACTGATGCCCAAGGATGCCCGCAAAAGGGTGTTAGATCCACTGGGACTAGAGTTATAGATGGTTGTGAAGGTGATCTTAACCTCTGAGCCACTGCTCCAGCACAGAATGTTATATTTTAAGTAACTTATGTGCTTACTTTCCTGAGTCTTATGGCACTTACTGTGGTGTATAATAATCATGCAAAATAACATTTCAGGGATAGTTATTCAGATTAATGTCAGTGTTCTCCCTTCCTCACTACTTTGTACTTGAACAGTCATTAATTTTGAGAGTATAGATTGCTTTGTTATATAATGATTATGATACCTGCTGTCAAGGATGACCCCAGCTTAGACTACTAGCAATAGTGGAGAGGGTGCCTGAGCTGTCCTACCCTGGTAATCAGATTGGTGAATATTCTAACTGTCATCATAGAGCCTTCATCCAGTAATTGATGGGAGCAGATGCAGAGATCCACAGCCAGGCACTGGGTTGAGCTCCAGGAGTCCAGAAGAAGAGAGGGAAGGAGGATTCTATGAGCAAGGGGCATCAAGATTTTGATGGGGAAATCTACAGAGACAAGTGAACCAAGCTCGTAGGAACTCACGAACTTTAGACAGACAGCTGTGGAGCTTTATGGGACTGGATTAGGCTCCCTGCATAAGGGAGACAGTTGTATAGCTTGGTCTGTTTAAGGGGCCCCTGGCAGTAGGATCAGGATCCATCCCTGGTGCATGAGCAGGCTTTTTGGAGCCCATTACCTATGGTGGGACACCTTGCACAGCCTTGATGCAGGAGGGAGGGGCTTGGACCTGACTCAACTGAATGTACCAGGCTTTGCTGACTTCCCATGGGAAGCCTTACCTTTTCAGAAGAGGGGATGGGGGCGGGTTATGGGGGAAGCCTTGCGGGGGGAGTGGGAGGAGGGGAATCTGTGGTTGCTATATAAAATGAATAAAACATTTCTTAATAAAGAAAAAATAATATGGGTTCATTAACAGCACCTGCACTGACTAGAGCTGTGGATTGTAGTCTGGTTATCTTTTGCTTCACATCTAGTATCCACTTATGAATGAGTACATACTGTGTTTGATTTTCAAAGTCTGGGTTACCTCACTCAGGATGATATTTTCTAGTTCCATCCATTTGCCTGGAAATTTGATGATGTCATTGTTTTTCACTGCTGAATAGTACTCCATTGTGTAAATGTATCACATTTTCTTTATCCATTCTTCGGTTGAGGGGCATCTTTATCCATTCTTCGGTTGAGGGTTGTTTCCAGGTGCTGGCTATTATGAATAATGCTGATATGAACATAGTTGAGCAAGTGTTCTTGTGGTATGATTGAGCATTCCTTGGGTATATGCCCAAGAGTGGTATCATTGATGAACCCATATTATAAGGTATACATTTTTAGTGGTTTCATTATCTCACCTGCAGAGAGCTAATATATGATGTTTGATGACTGCTAAGTGTTGCTTTTTGATTCATGCAGATTAAAGAGAAATGAATATCATCATTTTCCGCCTTGATGCATAAGTTTCCCTGACGTGTCCTTGGAGTCACAGAAGAATTTGTTTACACATTTTACCATTAGTCAAAGGATGGACATTACCAGTTTGTCCTGTGGTAAGTCCTGTTGCTGCTGTGTTTGAATCTGATGTAGGTCCCTCCTACACAGTGTAGAGCCAGAGGTCTGCCAGTCTGTTCTGGAGGGCTGAGGTAGGCCAAAGAGGGCTGTTTTGTATATCAGCCCTCTAGTATGTGCTTGGGAACGGGTACTGCATAATTCATTACTGATTTTTGTCATCAGGCAAATTCAGAGTTATGTTTCTCAGAACTTACATTTTCTTGGTGTTAAAGCAAAACTAATGTACTTTTGGTAGGCAAGACAGTTCACCATTGTGTCTCCTTGCTGTAAGAATTGCTGTGGTATTGTAGGTTACCAGAGTTATCTGAGTGAAATGAGTTATGTATTAATTGCAAACAGATGAACTCCCATCTCACAGTGAATTTTTGGCAGCTCTGGATTGTTGTATCTTTTTCCAGGAAATCTGCTTTCTGGGGACCAAGTCTGCAGTCAAGGGGAAGAAACAGAGGGAGAAAGCATACTGGTTGATTGCCTGAAAAGCTCTAATAAGGTATGAAGAAGTTCCACAAACTGACATCATTACATATAGAGGTATACATCTTTCCATGCAGACCAACTTGTCTCCAGGGATCATCAAAGGGAATAAAGCCCCTGACAAGGACTAATTACCTCGGGAGAGGAGCTTTTTCACACTGCTGTAATATGTTGTTATAGTCTTGACTCTGTGGTGCCAACTGCCAGTTTGTTTTGTACAGTGTTCTGAAAAATAGTAAGAAAGTGAAAGTATCATTTTCTCAAAGACTTTGTTTTTCATATTTACCCGATTTATACAGTATGTCCAGGAATGTTATTAAAAAGAGGGAAGACGAGAAAGGTCAGTGTGTGGTGAGGTGAGAATGTTTGAAATGTGTCATTAAAGTCCGTGGTTAGAGTGGATGGACAGAGTGTGAGTGTGAATACAGAGAAGCCTAGTCTAGGGCCCTGGAACCCCAGGGTAGGCAACGGGAGAGCTTACAGCTCTCTCTATAGGCATTGAGTTCCCTGTCCTTAGTCTCCTGGGATGATTGGTGGGGATATTAACTTGGTTGAAGCAAGCATTGGTTTAGGATTTGGTGACCTTTCAGGATGGTGCTGTGGATTTCACTCAAGAGGAGTGTACTACAAAGGATCCAACTCAGAACATCATACCCAGTGATGTGACAGTGGAGGACTATAAAAACCTGGTCTCTGTAGGTAAGTTGGTAGTTATTCTCATATGACAGATGCTTCATGTGGAGCAGGCACCTATTATGTACTTAGTATGTTTAGGATCTTTGCTAAATCCAATGAGATAACAGTGACAACAGTTTCTCTTCAAAAATATTTAAACATATGATATTAGTTTAATGGGGATTTATAGTAAACTCCAGTGTCTCATAACTGTTATGTGTGTGCTTCATTACTGAGTTGCATCCCTAGCACACTGTAGAATTTTTTTTTTTTTTAAGATTTAAGGTGGTGATGATCATGCACCTTTAATCCCAGCTCTCGGGAGGCAGAGGCAGGTGGATCTCTTGAGTTTGAGGCTAGCCTGGTCTATAGAGTGAGTTCCAGGACAACCCAGGGCTGCTCAGAGAAACTGTCTAGAAAAACAAAAACAAGATTTATTTATTTTTATTGTTTTGTGTGTGTGAGTGCAGGTGCACATGTGCCAACAACACCCATGTGGAAATCAGAGGACAACACACAGGGAGTCAGTTCTCTGCTCCCATCTTGTGGGAGGAAGGTTCATTCTCATTTCTGCCGCTGCACTGTGGCCAGTTCTCCTTTTTCTGCTTCTCATCTCATTCTAGGAGTGCCAGGGCTGGGATTACAGATGTCTGCCTTTGCATCTGACTTTTTAATATTTGGTGTCCTAGTTTGCTTCCTGTTGCTGTGATAAAACAGAGTAAATAAGCAACTTGGGGAGGGAAAGGTTTATTTGGCTTAAGGTTATAGTCCAATCATCAAGAGAAGCCAAGGCAGGAACCTGTAGGCAGACCGTGAAACAAAAACCATGGAGGAACACTGCCTTACTCCCTTTGACTTGCTCATCTACTTTTTTTTACACAGACCTGGCCCTTTTGTATCAAATAGCAATCAAAGGTTCCGAAACATGTCCACAGGCTAATCTGATGGAGTCAGTTCTTCAGTTGAGGTTTCATCTTCCCAAGTGTGATGTTGTCAGTGAAGATGTGGGTTCTGCATATTGAACTAAGATTGTCAGTGTTACATGGGAAACTTTTTTACCCAATGAACTATCTTGATGGCCCACTCTGGTGGTTTTTAAAATGTGTATCATCTAGTTCTGTCGAAATGTATGTTCTTGTTGCCATCTTTGATCTATTGAATAGTACTTTCTAGTTAGTGTTCTATTTGTCTTATGACTTTATCTGAATTAGATGAACTATAATATTTATAAGTTAATGGTCTGCTTTATTGCCTAGCAAGTATTGCTGTGATTAATTTTTGTCTGTTTGATTAAATTGCTAGAGCTTCAGAAATACAAATATGAAATTGATTTGTATTTCAGTGGTCAGAAATCCTTGGGATCATGGGATAAGGCTTTGTCTTTTTTGGTCCATTTGAAATAATTACTGCTTTTATTAGAATTGTAGACCAAAAACTGGGTTTGATTGTGCATCCTGTAATCCCAGTAGGCTTGCAAGTTTGAGGGGCTAATCTGGGCTACCTGAGACCCAAATGTATTATAGACTGAAACATAGAAAAGTTTGTCATCTCCTGTTAATGCAACTTTTTCTATGTATAGGATGTCAGACACTTACCAAACCCAGTGCTTTGACTTGTTTGAAAGAAGAATTGGTGAGCACACAGAGAGAAGTTCTTCAAGGTGAATGTTTGTGAAGAACAACAGTGACCAGTGGCATATATCATCAGTTTTCCTGTTGTTGCTTTTTGTCTCCCCCAAAATCCCGTGATCTAATGAGATAGCATTTTTTTTCCCAGAAGTTATTATTATTATTATTTTTTTTTTTTTGGGTTTTTCGAGACAGGGTTTCTCTGTGTAGCTTTGTGCCTTTCCTGGAACTCGCTTTGGAGACCAGGCTGGCCTCGAACTCACAGAGATCCGCCTGCCTCTGCCTCCCAAGTGCTGGGATTAAAGGCGTGCGCCACCACCGTCTGGCCCCAGAAGTTATTTTTAATGTATGCGCTAAATAAATAAGATTTAAACAGAGGATAAGACTATCAGATATTTATCTAAGTAAAATGTACAGAGGTACATTAGCAATTCAAATTCTAAAATCAACCACCTTCATAGGAAAAAAAACCTTGATTAAAAATTTCAAGCTTGGGGCTGGAGAGATGGTTCAGCAGTTAAGAGCACCTACTGCTCTTTCAGCGGTCCTGAGTTCAATTCCCAGCAACCACATGGTGGCTCACAACCATCTATAATGAGATCTGGTGCCCTCTTCTGGCCTATAAGCATATGTGCAGATAGAACATTGTATACATAATAAATAAATCTTTAAAAAAAAATTTCAAGCTTAATTATTCCTCCTTAAAAATTTCATATTTATATTGGGCAAAAATGATCAAAATTATCTTCAAAAATAAAGTATGACTTAAAGTTAATCAATTACTTCAACACCATAATGTATGAATGCAACTTAGTTATTATTCTGATTTAACCACTGTCCTTAATTCAAGATTCAAGTGAAACCTTGTATACACCTACAGGAGACACTGACCATATTCCTCTGCCTCAAACAGGAATAAGTACTAGCAGACCTCTGAGGAGTTAGGTCTAATGAGATAGCATTTTATGTTTCAAGTTCATTATCTTTTTTTGTTTGGTTGGTTTTTTGAGTTACTGTTTGTCCCTGACTGGCCTGGAACTTCCTTTGTATGCTAGGCCAGCCTTGAACTCGAGGCAAGAGATTCACTTCTCTCTGACTGCCTCCTGGAGTGCCAAACTCATTGTTTTATGAACTTTTCTTTTTTCATCTCTCTCTCTCTCTCTCTGTGTGTGTGTGTGTAAAACAGTCTCCTGGGATTTGCCTCAAATGCATGCTTTTTCTCTTTCTTTCTCTCTCTCTCTCTCTCTCTCTCTCTCTCTCTCTCTCTCTCTCTTTCTATTATGGTGTAGTTTTAAATAGTTGATTCTCCAGTCTTAGATTCGTGTGTGCTGGGATTGTAGGTGTGCATCATCATACTGTGCTGTACTCTCATGATATTTCTTCCTTTTTCTCTTTGGTGACAAGTTTTTATTTTATTACCATGTATTAGTTTTAACAGAATTATATGTAGCAAAATTTCCTCTAAATCTTGAGTTTGCTTACCAGGTTTATTTAGAAAACCATGGAGATACTTTTAACTTGCTATACTGTTCTGTTATTTAAATCTAATCTTATTTTGTGGGTTCAATTCCAGAATTAGAAAAACAACTACAAACCAAAGATTTAGCACTAGAGCAGAATTTTTTGACAAGACATACCTTCATGGAGACTCAGCAGGTGGTAAGTTCAACAAAAAAGTTTATTTCCTATTTTATGCACTTAGCCAGGATTGATAAATTTCTTTGTAAGAAGTCAGGACATGAAGAGAAATGGGTTTCTTGGTAGAAGGAATGATCGCTTATCATGTACTCTGAAGAGGAGTATTAGAGGATCTAAAGTTAATGTGAAATTGGCCATGAAGACATTTTCTCATAGGTAGACTTGCCCTCACAGCAAAACAAATCAGCAAACCAAAAACCCATGCCATGACTGATTGCTTGGTTGAATTTTCCCCAAGGGCACATATTTAGGTGAGGGATTACCCTGAAAATATTTCAGTATTTTAGTAATCATGTGTCTTGACTTCTGTTAGTGTTTAAATGTTTATTATTTTATGTGTTCTGACAAATGATAAAGATGAAAATCCCCGTTTTTAAAGAAGTAAATTCATTTATAATCACATAACAAGTTTGAAATGCTTGGGAGCGTGTCACAGCATAGGAGAGTAGGATGAATAGAGTTCCCTGTGTAGTTGGGGCAGTGTAAGTTTATTTGTAAGAGCTGCCAAAATCCGTGAGTATAAAAGGTGTAGAGAGTGAGTGTAGATAGAGAGATGCTCTAGAAATACTGAGACTTGAGATAGATTATGGGAACCTCAGACTCCTTTATAGGTATGGATATTACTTTGTCATTCTCCAGTGAGCATAGATGATGTTTGTTTTGCTCAAGCTGGTGTTTATGTGATGGTTCAGGATGCAGTGACCTTTGAAGATGTGGCTGTGGACTTTACCCAGGAAGAGTGGACTTCACTGGATCCTATTCAGAGAAATCTCTACAGAGATGTGATGCTGGAGAACTACCAGAACCTGGCCACAGTAGGTAAGACTGCCATCATTTGTTCTAGATTCATAAGATAAAAATAGTGTTCTAGAATGTGATATCAGCTCAGAAAACAGTGGGAAATAGCAGATGAAATTCTTTCCTTAATATAATTATCCCACCATGGTAGTTCTCAACTAAATCATCGTTAGTAGCATCACTATTCCTATACTAATAGTGTTATCTTGATATTCTTTCTCTTTCTGATTTTTGTTCTGTGGCGGGGTCTTACTCTATAACTCTAGCTGACTTCAAGGTCTCAGCATTCTACCTCAGTCTTCTGAGAGCTAAGATTACAGATGTGCTCTATCACACCTGGCTGTTGTTTTTATTTTAACAATTTTTGTGAATCTGTTTCTGAAGGACTAGTGCTATCATTTTTTTCATATAAGAATGCAGACCCATGGCTGGGTATGTTTCTTTGTGGTAGAGTGCTTGTTTAGATATATGTGGCCTTGGGTTTGATCTGTATCTCTGGGGAGCAGGGGTGGTAGTAACTTTATAAAACTTTCATTACTTATACTAGATCTTATTGAAAGAAATAATTTAGTGCATTTTATTTTACATTTTTTTTAAAGCATAGAATTTTCATTAATAATGGAGGCATAGGACCATTACATGCCATTAATAGTATTTATTTGTTTATGGGCAGTAGTGGGGATTAAATTTAGGACCTTATACAGTCTAGGCAAGTGCTCTACTATAGTACAAATCCTAATTGTCTTAATAAAAACCCAGAATCAGATATAGGGGTAAATGCTTAAAGATCAGAGAGACAGAGGAGGAAGCCACAGCCATTTCTTACCTCTACTGAGTTCTCAGCCTGAAAGGGAGCTGAGCTCCTATCTCCTCCTGCCTTATATTCCTCTCTTTGCCCAGCCATTTCACTTCTTGTCTCCACCTCTCTAGTGCTGGAATTAAAAGTGTGAGATTCCAAGGGCTAGGATCCAAGGTGTGTGCTACCACTGCCTGGCCTCTATGGCTAACTAGTGGCTTAGCTCTACACTCTGATCTTCAGGCAAGCTTTATTTGTTAGGTCACAAACAAAATATCACCACACTGTACTTCAACCATTTTTTTTTTGGCTTGAGACAGGTCTCACTATTTAGCTTTGTAGCCATGATTGGCCTGAAAGTCTTGATCCTCTTGCCTCAGCCTTGTGAGTGATGAGATTACATCAACAGACTTGGTCTTCACTAGTGTCTTTTAAATGTGCATTTGGTTATGAATGTGGGTTTGGTGGGTCACAGAAAACTTCTAGTCACCAATAGCATAAATATTTGTATTCTGAGCTGTTAATAATTTTAAATATTTCTTGAGAAATGTGTTTTTCTATCATTGGGGAATTTATGAGACTTTTCCATTGATGTATTTGTCTCTGTTTAGGAGGTCAGTTGTTCAAACCTAGCCTGATCTCTTGGTTGGAGCGGAAAGTAGAGTTGACAGTAATGGAGCAAGGAATTCTCCAAGGTTAGTATTTGTTGAAAACATTTCTTGTCATTGTCAAGTTCCTTATGTTTGGAAGTGTGTCAAGGGAACTGTTAGAAGGACCACCTTGAATCTGAGGTCCTTGGAACACAATTTAATTTTAATAGAAAAAGCTAATGTATAGCATCTGTGATGTACTTTTTTTCCCTTTTCTCTATTTACCATCCCATTTAATTTTAGTAGAAAAATTTAATTGTTACAGCTTTGACACCATATCCTGTGTTTGCCATATTTTAGATTTAGATGCTTTAATCTCTCTTTGCCTTATTGTTTAATGTGTTTCAATATGAAAAAAATGTAAATGAAGTTCTTGCCTGGAACTCAACTTATAGAACAGGCTGACCTTGAACTCAGACATCTGCTTGCCTTTCCTCCTTAAAGGTGTGTACCACCACCCCTGGCCACATGAGATGGGTTTGTGCCTGTTTTTAAAAATTGAACTTTCCATTTGTCGTGCAAATCCTTATATATGTTTTCCGGTCTCACTTTAGAATGGGAACTGCACCTTCAGACAAAAGGGACAGCACTTCAGCAGGATGTATTTCGGTCCGATGTGTCAAATGGAGTGCAACTGGTAAGGCTCACAAATGAATTTGCTTTTCTTTTATGCTTATGGGAGCTTTGCCTGCACATAAGTCTGTGTATCATGTGCATTTCTGGTGCTTTTGGAGAACAGACTAGGGCATCTGATTCCCTGGAACTGGAGTTATAGACGATTGTGAGCTGCCATGTGGATGCTGGGAAACTAACCTGGGTCCTTTGGAAGAGCAGCAGGTGCTCTGAGCCAGCTCTCCAGCCCCAGAATTTTTTTTTTAAATTTTGAGAATATCTCATATAATGTATTTTGATAATAATCAACTCCCACTTCCTAAAGTCCTCCAAGATTCACCTTCACTTCTCCACTCCAACTCTACATCCTTTTTTAAGAATATAAATAGTCTATCAATTTGAATTTGTGCTAACCAAACTTCCTTGGTGTATTATATAGGGCCATTCCAGGAGCATGGTTGACATAACTCCTTGGGGGAACAAGGGTATTTCTTACTGTCCAATTTCAGGGAAGATTAGGAATTCATTAATAAAATAGATATAAATGAAAGATATTTGGTAGAAATAGCTATCACAGGCACGGGAACTCTTCTCTTTCCCTCCTTTTCTGTTTACTCCTTTTATCAGAGAGGGGCTCACTAGCACTTAAAATAAATAGCCTTCACTTGTGACTTTTGCTTCAGCCTCCAGAGTGTTGGGATTATAGTAGTAAACCAATGTATTCAGCATAAATTAGTGCATCAGAATTCCCACAAGTATACATTCCTATACAAGCCTGAAAAGTCCTTTAATCATCTTTTTACCCTTTATCAATAGGGAAGAGAACACAAGAGAGGGGTGCTTGGTGACTCTATACAAGTTGGAACAGTTTTCAATGAAGATTCATGCCCTGAGACTCACATAAGTACTTCAAATACAGAGAACACTTCAGAGTGTAATTTGTATGGAAAAGACTTTTTGCCACCACTTAAAGAAAATTCTACCGAAGAGAACATTCTTCAGTTGAACCAGTGTGTAAAACCCTTCACCGTGACTCCAGATGTTTCCCAGAAAATATGCACTGTGGAAAAATCCTTTGAATGCTGCGAATGTGGGAAAATTTTCGTTAATCAGTTAGAACTGCAGGCACATAGTTCTTCTCATAGTGAAAAGAATCTTCACAAATCAGAGCAGTGTGAGCAAGCTTTTACTCATCCTATAAGCCATGACGATCATGTTGTAATTCCCACTGAAAAAAAATATTATGAATGTAAGAAGTGTGAAAAAATCTTTACACATCCTATCTACCTTAATATCCATATGCAAAGCCACACCTCGGAGAAGCCCTACGACTGTAAGGAATGTGGGAAAGCCTTCACTGAGCGCTCGAGCTTAATTGTACATCTACGACAACACACGCGAGAGAAGTCTTATGAGTGCAAGGAATGTGGGAAAACCTTTATTCAGCCCTCACGCCTTACAGAACATATGAGAAGTCATACAGGAGAGAAACCATATCAGTGTGACCAGTGTGGGAATGCCTTTGCATCTTCTTCTTACCTTACTACGCATTTGAGAACTCATACTGGAGAGAAGCCCTTTGAGTGTAACATATGTGGGAAGGCATTTACACGTTCTTCTTACCTGTTAGGTCACATACGAACTCACACAGGAGAAAAACCCTATGAATGTAAAGTATGTGGGAAAGCGTTCAGTGGCCGTTCTTGGCTTACGATACACTTACGAAAACATACTGGAGAGAGGCCCTATCCATGTACAGAATGTGAGAAAGCCTTCACCAGCTTTGCTCAATTAACTGAACATATAAAAACTCACACTGGTGAGAAGCCCTTCCGGTGTAAGGTATGTGCAAGGACCTTCAGAAATTCCTCATGCCTTAAGACCCACTTTCGAATTCACACTGGAATAAAACCATACAAATGTAATTATTGTGGGAAAGACTTCACAGCACGTTCAGGCCTTACTAAGCATGTACTAATTCACAATGGTGAGAAACCCTATGAGTGTAAGGAATGTGGGAAAGCCTTCAGTACATCTTCTGGCCTTGTTGAACATATAAGAATTCATACAGGAGAGAAGCCCTTTGAATGTTACCAGTGTGGGAAAGCCTTGGCTCATTCCTCATCTCTTGTTGGACATTTAAGAACTCACACAGGAGAGAAACCCTTTGAGTGTAATCAGTGTGACAAAACATTTACACGATCTTCTTATCTTCGTATTCATATGCGAACTCACACCGGAGAGAAACCATATGAATGTAAAGAATGTGGGAAAACTTTCCCTGAGCGCTCATGCCTTACTAAACACATAAGAACACATACTGGTGAAAGGCCCTATGAATGTAAGGAATGTGGGAAAGGCTTTATTAGTTTTGCTCAACTTACTGTACACATGAAAACTCACAGTTCTGAGAGACCTTTTCAGTGTAAGGTGTGCACAAAATCCTTTAGAAACTCATCATCCCTTGAGACTCACTTTCGAATTCACACTGGAGTAAAACCCTATAAATGCACTTACTGTGGGAAAGACTTCACTGCTCGTTCAGGCCTTACTATACATTTACGAAATCACACTGGCGAAAAGTCCTATGCATGCCAAGAATGTGGAAAAGCCTTTAGCACTTCCTCAGGCCTTATTGCACATATAAGAAGTCACAAAGGAGAGAAACCATTTGAATGTGACCACTGCGGGAAAGCCTTTGCTTCTTCCTCTTATCTTAATGTGCATTTGAAAATTCACACTGGAGAAAAGCCCTTTCAGTGTACTGTATGTGGAAAAACATTTACATGTTCTTCTTATCTTCCCGTTCATATGCGGACGCACACTGGAGAGAAGCCTTTTCAGTGTATAATATGTGGAAAGTCATTTTTATGGTCCTCGTACCTTCGAGTTCACATGCGAATTCACACTGGAGAGAAACCCTATGTATGCCAGTACTGTGGAAAAGCCTTTACAGAGCACTCAGGCCTTAATAAACATTTACGGAAACATGCAGGAGAGAAACCATATGAATATAAGGAACGTGGGGAAGCCTTCACTACTTCTGATGCTAATAAACATGAAAATCCCCATTGGGGGGAAAACCTTTGAATGTAAGGAATTCAGAAAATTGTTCTGGAGGCCCTTGATCAATCTTTTGCAATCAGAATTTGGTCTATACAAGTTTTATTAATATAATAAGTAATGTATGAAAGCATTCAGTTTTCACTATTTGCTGTAAAAACTCATTCTGAGGATGCTCTGAGTTTAAGGATCATGGGAGAAATCAAAATCTCATGATATGTGAACTCAGTCAAGGTTTGTAGCATAGGAAATGAAAACAGTGTTTCCATGTGTGTTGATGCAAGACATATAGAAATGTCATAGATTTTAAGTTTTGTTCACTTGTGATCTCACAGTTGAGAAAAAAATCTTTCTGAAGTTTGGGAAATAACTTTTTACATTTGACTTTATGTGGTGTTTACAGACTGAACACAAACTACGTATGTGTAATAGGGGATTTGCTTCATTTGGATGGCAACACATAGATTTCCTGGGTGCTTCTAGATGAACTTTGAATATTTCTATATTTGTGTATTTTTATGACTTCAATTATAAATTTCTAAGTTCCATTATAGGTTTTCCTTTTTAAAATATTCCTATTTGTATGATTGAAAACTATTGTTTATACCTAGTGTCTAGTATATGTCCCATGTTGGCATTGTGAACTAATGAACACAAACTCTCATCTACTCACTACTTTTATTTTATTTGTTGTGCCATGTACGTCCTCTGCACTGTCTGCTTCGTCCTCTGCACTGTCTGCTTCCCTCCCTTTTGTCTTTTTTTCGAGTCAGTCTTACTTTGTGACCTAGACTAGTATGAAAATCATGTAGCTTAGACTGGTCTTGACCTCATGGCATTCCTGACTCAGTCTCCTGAGTGCTGAGATTACAGGCACAAGCCACCATACCTGGCTCTGTCCACTATCTTAGTATATACTTTGCTAGCACTGAAATCACTGTGTTTTTACAGAGTGTTCAAGTACTTACATAAGTAGGTTGGATCTGACCAATACAACCCCTTGATTTGAGTTCCCAGTCACTGGTAGCCATTATCTCATTCTCTGATTAGAGTTCAGCTTTTCTTTAGACTATTTGTTAAGTTATGTAGCATCTGTATTAACTACCTAGGTTTTTTATTTTTTTGTGACAGGATCTTACTTTGTAGCTCAAACTGACCCCAAACTTACCTTCTGCCTCAGACTTTAGTGCTGGAGTTTCAGGCATGTGCCATCATGCCTAGCTCTCTATATGGCTTCTGTTAGTTTATATGATGTCCTCAAGGTAAAGCTGTGTTATGGTCAGTTATTTCATTTTAAGATATTTAATTATCCTTTGGCATGATTATGGATATTTAATTTCCATACCTTGGCTGTTGGGAGTATTGCTACATAATTGTGAGTGTAGCTATCTCTTTAAATTAGTGATCTTATGTCCTCAGACACAATCCCCAAAATGGGTTTGTTATAGTAACGATAAATGTACTTTTAATTCAGTATGTCTGTACTATTCTGTAATGACTATCAATTTATTGTTTATCTTTTTACTTTTTCTATGTGCCATTTTAAAATATGAGATGGTATTTGATTCTTTCTAATCTGTAAGTATGTCTTTGCTAAAATATTAATTTCAGTCATGAATTTTAAGATCAATGTATTTTGCTGTGAAGTTACCCGGGTTACTATATTTTAGACATAGACCCCACTGTAATATATATGGTTTGCAGATATTTTTCCGTGTACATGCCTTTGCAGATTTGTTTTCTGCTCTGCTTTGCAAAGTCTTCAGTTTGATGTTGCCCTAATTCTTCATGTTCACTCCAGAATTCTATGCTGGTGTGTCAAGAAGCATTCTTTTTACAGTTTTATTCTGTCACAGTTTTAGATTTTATTTTCAGGGTTTTGTTTGTTGGAGGTGATCTTACTATGTAATCTAAAATAGCATGGAACTCACTGTGTAGACCAGGCTAGACTTAAACTTGCAGCAGTATTTCTTCCTTACGCCTCCTGAGTGCTGTGATTTTGGGTATGAACCAGCCTACCCAATTTAACTGTATTTCTTTTACTATTATTCAATTTTATTTCCTTTTTTCCTTGACCTCTGAGTTTATATCATTACACACACACACACACACACACACACACACACACACACACACACACACACACACACCACACCCACCCCATAGTTAGTGGTGCACTTATTTTGCTTGCCTATCCATTTTTTCAGTTTCTTTTATTTCTTTCAAAATACTTTTTAATGTTATGATATTTTTTTTGAAAATTTGGTTATCAACCTTTGTATTTTGGTGCTTAGAATTGAACTTGTGACCTCATGAATGCTAGGCATGTGCTCTACCCTCAAGCTATAGTTCTAAATTCATTGTTGAAATTATTTTGACTGTATAAGAGTTTTGGTTTTGTTTTTGACCTTTTTTTGGTTTTATGGTTTGTTTTTTGTTGACGGGGTTTCTCTGTGTAGCCCTGGCTGTCCTGGAACTCACTCTGTGTTGCAGACTGTCCTCAAACTCAGAGATCCGCCTGCTTCTGTCTCCTAAGTACTGGGATTAAAGGCGAGCACCACCACTGCCGGGCTTATATAAGATTTTTGTTGTTATTTTGATTTTGAGATAGTCTCTCTCTGTAGCTCTGGTTGGCCTGCTAAGTAGACCAGGTTAACCTCAAACTCATGAAGATCCACCTGTGCAGGGATTAAAGTTATGTGCCACTATGCCTAGCAATGACTATAAGTTTTATCTAAACTATTTTGTTATGTTGTTTGTATCAATATTGTAATGTTTGATTACTGCCTATGTATTTTTTTCTTTAATTATTCCTTGAGACAAGGTTTCATGGAACTTAGGCTTTGAAATTAACTAAATGGTCAAGAATGACCTTTGACTTTTGATCTTCTTGCCTCTACCTCCCCAGTGGTAGGATTACAGGTATGCACCACCACATTCATTGTTTTTGTTTTGTTTTGTTTTTGGTTCAGTGCTTGGGTATCAAACTTGGGACTTCACACATGCGAAGTGAACTCTCTACTAACTGAGCTTCATCTCCAACCCTGTAATACATTGTTAAACCTAAAATTTTTGTTTTTATTTAAGTCTGGCCTACTTTGAAAGGTTTTGGTTCCTTATGACTTGGGAATTTTTTCATAAGCCTGTGAGAAATGCTGTTGGAATTGTTAATGTGATGGCAATAACTCTACAAAGCACTTTGGGTAGGAAGGACATTCTAACAGTGGTGATTCTCTCAGTGTGCATGGGATACCTTGCCAGTGTTTATAGTCTTGTTCATAGTGGTTTAGATTTTCCGTTTAATTTTATTCTCTGTCGTTTTATGCAGTTTTATAGGGTGTATAATATTTTTGCTTTTTAAATTTGTAGTGTGTAGACACTTTGTGTTGATTTGAAAATTATTGAACTTTTATGAGTTTCTTAAAATTTCTTTCACAGAGTAATTTTCTGTATTGACACCCTATCACCTGAAACAAGTTTCTTTCCTTGGGTGACTTTTTTCTTTTCTTATCCTAATTGATTCAGCTAGGCTTTTCCCAGTATTTGCTGAATAGAAGAAGGAAAGGTAGGTAGGCCTGTCTTTGACAAGTTTGAGCTTTGTAACACTGAATGATAACTGTATTTGTTTTTCATATGCTTCCATTATAATTAAGTACATTTCTATCTAATTTATTGACTCTTGTTACCATCAGTTGATATTCTGTGTTGTTACATGATTCTTTACATTTTCTGCAATACAGTTTTTTTTCACTGTTATTCAGTGTATCACATTTATTTATTTGCATAAATCATCTTTGCAACTCATTCTTGATCACAGTTTGTGTGGTCCTTTTAAAAGTTACTTTGTGAAATGATCAGGAGATTGAAATTGTCTTAAATAATAATTTTTCATTATTTGTTTTTGTGACAGGGTCTTGCTGTGTAGTTTAGGCTTGGCCTTGAATTCACTGTGTAGTGCAATCTGACCTCAAACTAATAATCCTCCTGCATTAACCTCTCAAGTGTTATGGCTTCAGTAATGGCCCACTGTGCTTGGCTGATAATGTATAGAAAGACTTCTCTGTGCTTCCAATAAGTGACTAATTTTATTTGTAAGGGCATAAATAGACCGAAAAAGGTCTATTTATTGTAAGGGTGATATGGTTGTTAAAGATATGATCCCTGAAATAGAACACCCAAGTGTGGAAAGCAAATATTAGTATATATGTGGAGAGAAATAGTGTTATGATGAGAGTGTAAGACTGTTTTAGTACTCTCTTCAATGCTGAAGTCATATTAACATTGGGTCTTAAAATCACTAAGGAAACTGTACTTGAAATAGACTTGAGACCAAGTGAATCTAATAAATCTATACATAACATTCAATCTAAGAGTCAGGGAATGCTTTGTGTTTAATTTCACAGTGTGCATTATGAGAAATTTCACATTAAACTTACAAGCTTTACTTTTAAAATAATTCTTAGGCAGGTTGAGTTTATTTAGTTCTTGAGAGAGGGTCTCATTGTATAATCTAGACACCTCTAGCTTACAATTCTGCCTTAAATATACATTAAGTATTAATATAATACTGCATTATATTAATAGTTAGAATTGGCACTAATTTTGTTTACTGAGTCTAGATCCAAACTATTGAATATATTCCTCACCTGACATAGTTTTTTTTTTTTTTTAATTACATTTATTTATTTGGGGGTGTGGGTGGACAACATTATGCGTGTGGAGTCAGAGGACAACTCAGGACCTGGCTTTCTCCTCACCTTATGGGTCCTGGGAATTGAACTCAGGTGGTTGGGCTTGGAGGTAAGCATTTTTACCTGCTGAGCCAACTTGCTGGCCCACTGAGTTATATTTTATATTTGATATGAAAACACCTAATGTCTTAGCAAACTAGAAAACACAGAGTTCTGTAGGCCCTCAGAACAGATGCTTATATGTATCTTAGAGAATGGTGATTGATGTGGCAGGGACTTCTCTCTCGGAGTGTAACCAGGAAAGGCCATCTTAGGCTTTACAGAGTCTTTGTTTGTCA